CCACCACCAGGGCTGGGTCGATCTCACAGGGTAAACCTGCTGCTGACGACAGCTCGTAGACATTCATGGCCACCTGGAAACAAACAAGATATAAACATGCACACAAGGAGAGCACAAGAACACTGACAACAGGTCTGTGTTTTACCTTCATGTCTGTTTCTCGGGGAATGTGGTCCTTAAAATCCTCCACAGAACTGACCAGGAAGGGAATATGACAGGACAAAACCTGGAGACAGAGACAATCCAGGCCGAGTGTGATGTAGCACCAGCATTTTTCATTGATCTCACTCCATCTGTTGCAATTGTATTAACATGTTATTTTGTGTGAATCCTTACATCTCTCAGAGCCTCCTGAGCGAGGGAGCGGAAAGACAAGATAACTCCAATGATGGTCATTCTCTTCAAAACACTGTCGACAGCTACACACACACACACACACACACACACACAAAACAGAAAAATATACATCAGTTAAGCTGCAAACTCACAGCAAAGTAAGCACTTGGTGTCGGTGGATGGTAATGGTAAAGTCCCATAAAATGATGCTAAGAAAGTGTCTGTGTGTGGTACATGTCGATGTGCATGTGTGTGAGTTTGTGATTACAGGTGAGTTTCTTGAAGAGCGCAGCCATGTGGTCCGGTTTGTCAAAACTCGTCCTCATCTGGGTCAAAACCTCCATGTTCTCCACCACCAGTTTCTACATAAACAGTTGGCATTAAACAAAATGTTGACTTCATGTTTACAGAATGGGATTCACCTTTGTGGTTCTGTGTGTGTACCTTCAGCTCAGCGACCTGTGATGAGATGTGCCACATCAGACTCTCACTGAGGAACTTCATGCCGTATGGACCCAACAGCTCGGACAGTGAACGCATCTCTGTGAATTAACACACAAACAGTTACATCCATTTCTCCACATGCTTTCTGTGTGGACAGCAGCAGAACTCTAATTAACTACCTCTAAAATGCAGGTAAGGACATGTATTTGTTTGTCTTACTATCATTTGCTCACACACTTTCAGACATGCACTGCTTTCCGTTAATCTGACGACGTTTAAATGCTCTGAATAAGCGCTGTGATCACTTTTCTTTACAAGATGCAACAAGAATCTTACCAGGTCAGACCTAGTACCATTTACGTATCACTTTCAACACAGCACAAGTCTGAACTGCAGGCTATAGCATTAACAGATAGGCACGTGCATGATTACGACATGCTGGCGTAACATATTGTTACATATAGTGGGAACTGCAGGCTATAGCATTAACAGATAAGCACGTGCATGATTACGACAGCTATCTAATCACGACAGTCTAGGTGTCTGTGCATGTCTCTTGTGTATCTTGGTGAGCTACTCAGTTCACAAAAACTTGACTGTTTTTGCTGGACCACACGTTCATCAGCCCTGCTGTAGTAAGAAAACTGGCCTCATACATCATACATTACTTGGTGTACTATCCAATCTGACACGTACCATGACTCTGTGTGTCACGGAACGAAGCTGCGAGGAACATTAATTGACCTCTGTCTGAAGGACAGTGAGCTGCGGCTTTAACAGACTGCTGAAGCCAGCGATGTGGGGGGAAAAGGGGAAACCAGCAGCATACCTTGTTCGTACATCCTCGACCACATGAAGTATACACACAGTACGGTGAGTCTACTGTGTTTGTATGAGTGAATGATCTGCTTGTGTGTTTGTACCAGAGATGTCGGAGTATTCCTCAGCGTTGAAGGTCAGTTCGTTCTCAGTGGGCAGGTTCACGAAGGCCTTCATGGCGGGGAAGTAGGCGATGTGCCCGTTACTGACCTGACGGAGTAACGTCTCCAAGTACCTGCGCACAGCGTGGTTTTAGTTTTTACCTTTATTAATGAGTTCATATTAGGAGCATCACCTTTTCTGAATGTTAAAACCACAAGAAAATTTCAATAATCAGTCATTTTGTTGCTAAATGGGATTTTAATCCATGTGTAGGGAGTTCTCTGCTAAAAGTAAATCTGATTATCAGAAGACTGAGATCAGTGAATGGCCACTTCATACAAAACCAAACCAAGTTCAATAAAATATTAACGCCAAACAGAAGGACAACAATCCTGCAATTTCTGTGCCCAGGTAGGAAAAGTCGTACATTTAGCTTAGTTTAGTTTGGCAGGAACATACAACCTAAAAAAAAAAAATCTCCTAAAGAAAAATTTGAGGTTGTCTGCTTCCAACTACTGGTAATCTGTGACTGCAGACATGATGGAAGCTTTGCTTGAGAGAGATTCTGCCGTCTTACATTAGAAATGTTATTATACTGCAAGAGTCAGTACAAATACAAATCAGAAAGCATAATCATGTATGTTTTTTATAAAATGGCCCTTAATATTTGGAGATAATGACATTCTGGAGTAATGTATAGTCTCAAAATAATTCAATCGTACCAGTTTGTGTACAGACTGGTGATGGTGGGCTCCCCGTGGCTGTCCAGGTGCTGCGTCTGCTGCAGAAGGACGTTGTTGAAGACTCGCGTGATGTCGATAGTGACATAGTTCTCTATGGACTGCAGCACCGTCATGTACGCCCGGACACTGGTCAGCAGCTCGCTGGGCTTGGCTATCTCCTGAGTAGCCTGGTTGTACATGGTCATGCCAACTATGGACCTAGACACAAAGGGACAGTCATGAACCCAACACACTGTGCCATGATGGAGGACAATTCAGAAAAAAATTAACTTGCTTCTAGTGATGACAAAGCATCAACTCTGACTTATGAACTGCTTACCGATGGCTGGCTGTATCTATTCATTAACAACTAACACATTACCTTACAAGGCAGATGAAAGAGCTGCATCTGAACTGAACACAGAGCATTT